ATATACATGAAAAGGAGGAATTATGTAAATAGCAATATGTGGCCCGTGGTATGTAATTCATCTTCATGCAACAACTGCACAGTGGGTCAGCCATTATTCGCTGTGGGGTGTCATCTGCAAAATGGTGGCAAATGATGGCCATCTGTCATGGTTGCTTTAGCTGAGATTCCTCCATTGCAGGTGTTTGTACCTTAGAATTGCTTCCAACTCTACAATTCTATGATTCCCACCCTCTTCCTCCAATTTTTGTCTATGTCCTTTGGAAGTAATGTTAAAATATGTAGTGGAACACCAGTAAGAACAGTAAAGTAAAGGTAAAGGGACCCCTGACCATTACGGTCCAGGCGTGACCGACTCTGGGGTTGTGGCGCTCATCTTGCTTTATTGGCCAAGGGAGCCGGCGTACAGCTTCCGGGTCATGTGGCCAGCATGACTAAGCCGCTTCTGGTGAACCAGAGCAGCACACGAAACACTGTTTATCTTCACGCCAGAGTGGTACCTCTTTATCTACTTGCACCTTGATGTGCTTTCGAACTGCCAGGTTGGCAGGAGCAGGGACCAAGCAACGGGAGCTTACCCCGTCGCAGGGATTTGAACCACCGACCTTCTGATCGGCAAGCCCTAGGCTCTGTGGTTTAACTCACAGTGCCACCCACGTCCCTAGTAAGAACAGTACAAAGCCCTTTTTCGCACACAAAAGAAAAATGAATAGTACTTTTGAACTATGGAGAGCAAGTGACCGACACGATCATTCTGATGTTGGGTTTATGAAAATTTATACCATATATTCCTAACTGGAGCGTGGTGGACTGAAGGTGGAACAAGTGACCTCTTTTCAGCCTGTGCACCCTACTGAAATACATTATATCAAGTGGATAGGTGAGATCAGATATTAATGAAAGGTGAATGCCACAGGAATCCTCTTATCACCTATCCAGTATCAGTGCTTGTTTTATTTGACTTAAAACACAGCATATCCCCAAGAAGAGGAATGTATTCAACCAAGAGTAGCCAACACTGTTCCCTCCAGATGTGTTTCCACTACAAAGCTCATCAGGCCTAGCCAGTATGAGCAATGAAGATGGACAGTGTGGTTCAACAATATCTAGAGGGCACCCACATAGGTAACCCGTGCATTAAAATGTTAGAGAAATTCACAGGGATCGTTTCATAATTTGTGGAAGTGTGGTGTCCCTTGCTCCTTTAATAGCAGACACCACATATTTTTTCTTCCATTCTTTGCATGCATCCTTCCACTGTGTCTGAAAGGTCATTCTGGCAACAGCTGCCAGATGTTGTTTGGATGAAGTGACAGAAAGTGTTATAATGCTGGATGAATCTGGCATATGTGCATCAAAAATAATAAATGTCTACCTGCAAAAACAATGTCAGCTTATGCAAAATGACATGCTTTGCCTGAGATGCAAGCCAAAAGGTTAGGGCCAATATCACACTGAAATATTTTATCATACTAGAACGGATAAGGATATAACAAACATTTTTAAGCCTACAAGAAGATTTTATTTTTTTGTCTACTGTTTAATCTCACTCCTTGGATAGATGACAATTTTCATAGCTTCCAGCCGGAGGAAGCTAAAGCATTGAAATGGGGAAAGTTAAGAATATATGGGGAGCACATCTGTTATAGGCTGCCACACTCTTTCCAATCACTTTCCCATTCAGTTTCCATCATGGAGAAGGCAAAAACTAAACTCATGGTATTATGGTTCATTTTTACCATAAAAATAAATAAATGCACTGCTTGATAATTTTCAAAACTTGGCCTTTCAGCCCCAAATTTGTTCTGGTAAGAAAAATATTATGAGTAGAAAAGAAATTAGAACTCTTGTTAAACACATGTTTAACAAACATTTTGTTCCTGCTGTATTTTCAAGGGCAAAATAAAATGAAACTTGAAATAGGGTAGAAGCAACAGTTAGCCATAAAAATGCATTGCAAATGAAACAAGTAAATAAAGCTCAGGCCCATAGTTAGACTCATTGGTGGTGTCTTGCATCTTCATATAGTGTGTCCAGGCAACTGAAAAACTTCACTGAAAAGCGAGGAAGGAGAACGCAAAACCATTTTATATTTTATATTTATATTCTCCACTAGAAAGAAATAGAAAACCCCTTGTCAACCTTGCTAGGATACTCCATTTCGCCAAACCTTTATTAGGCATTACAAATATAGCAATCATAAACATCCATATATAAAAATTTGAAATATATACAAATAAACAGCTTTGTAAAATTATGTAATAATGGAGTTTCTTCCCGCAAAATACTCACATTTCAATGACTAAGGATAGCTCATTTAGTAGAGCATGAGACTCTACACACACACACATTTTTATTAGTTTTTTTAACATATCATTTCTAACAATCATATAACATAACTTCTTATTTTATACAATATTTTAGACTTCCGTCAACCCCTCGGATGATTTTCCGTTCTTTATCACTTATGCATTTCTTAATTTCTCTATTACTCTTAATTATCATTAACTAATAGTTCTCCTCATAGTCTTTCTTGCAATATTTCAAATATTCATCCTTACAAAACTTCTTGCAGTCCTACTAGCGTAATCTGTTCATTACAATTACTTTTCAAATAGTTTGTATATTTACTCCGGTCTTCTAAGAATCTCTGGTCCCGTAGGTTTCAAATCCTTTCTGTTAATTTATCCAGTTCTGCATAGTCCATCAATTTCATCTGCCATTCTTCTTTCGTCGGTAAGTGACTCTTAATCTCAGGGTCATGGGTTTGAGCCCCACATTGGGGCAATATTCTGGCATGTCAGGAGGTTGGACTAGATGATCCTTGTGGTCCCTTCCAAATCTACAATCCTACAGTTCCATGATTCTATGCCACTGTCCCACAATGAGCTGTTATTGCCAATAGTATCTTATAGCAAACATTCAAAACATCAAAATACAAGTATATTAAATACATAGTATATCAGTAAATTCAAAAATGACAGAAATCAACACTGTAACAAATGCAGAATAAATTCAGCCTTACCCTCAAAATTTTTAGGAAACTAGGATTACATAGATAAACACAAAGCAAAACAAAGTTAACTAACAATAAAATTTCTGGCTTTGGTCTTCCTGCACTCCCAAGAGCCTGGCTTAGATACAGGGTCCTATCACTAGATTAGATGACATACAGCTGGTCCTCATATCCTTCCTGCAGAAGAGGCTGGCAGCAGCAAATGGTAAATGTTAGGCAGAACAATGATGGTGAGTCACTTCCCAAGCCTTCTGGAAGCATCAACTTCTGGTGCAAGTCTTATTGCAATTCAGCCACTGATCCAGACTAAGTCCCATGAAGCAACGGTGTCTCCTGATATAATCCCCAGCAACATCAAACATTCCACCAAACCAATCAATATGAGTCAGGTGAGCAGATCTGGATCTCCATTGGCAATGCATGTGGAATGTTGCTTATGACTGTGAAACTCTCTTGCTGGTTGAGGACAACACTATATGTTATTTAATTATGGAAAGAGGTTTTTGTTGTTGCTGTTGTTGGCCTTTTTTCTCTTTCTTTGGACATTCTGTTTTTGTTGCATCCCGCCTGAGCTGTGCATCAGCATATAATGATGCCCTATATCATCGCCTGATCTGAGTCCAAATCCAGTTGGACAATGAAAGTGTTCTATATGGTATAGCTTCCTTGTATTCATCCCTAATTGCCTGTGGCTTTCATGCCATTGGTTTAACTTTAAACTATTGGTTTTGGCCTATAAAATACTAAATAGGCAATTTTTCATGAAATTACCTCTCACTTCCTGCACCATTGCCTCAGATAAACACACAATAACCATAATATGTTATTAGAAAAAAGGAGCACAGTATTGTCCTTAATTCTCTTATTAATTTGGTATGCACTTTACACATCCATGTAACTGCTCCTAGACGGCTTCCACATATTAAAACCTTTTACCATGGCTCACTGGCACATGTAAGGCATTTCCACTTAAAATAGGGATGGGGGAACTGTCACCCTCCTGATGTTTGAATGCAACTCCCATCAGCCCCAACCAGTGTGGCCAATGGTCTGGGATGAGGGGAGTTTTAGTCTGGCAACATGTGGAAGAAGTTCAACAAACCTGGTGTTTTGTTGTTGTTTTGTCTCATAGGGGTGCCTGCAGGCTGCTGCCAGTCAATATAAACCACCCTGGCCTAGTTCAGCCATAAGTCTGATGAAGCTTCCTAGAGGTTGTGCATTTTTCTCATGCCATTAAAATGTATTGACCACAATAACGTTGCTATATTTTTGTCCAGAGAGTCTCTTTATTACTTCTACATATATATTGCACACAGAGAGTGAAAACAGAACTGGTATTTTGGAATATCAACAGTTGCAAATGATAGCCATAAGGGCTGACTTACAAAAGAATCATGATTTCAGTCATGCGGGTGGGAATAACTCTAAGGGTCATTAGTGGATAGCACTTAATAAAGACAATAAATAAAGACAATTTATTCCAGAGCTTAGTGAGTTGTCCTGAACCTGAATATGTTGTCAGACTTCAGTGTCTTCTTCAAGCACCGAAAGGAATAGATGTACACAATATTCACCCCCTGTGATTTGATTAGCAATCAGGAGGGAGCTGAAAATTTCTCAGAACTTAAGTTTCGTTAATAGGGCATATGACAAGACAGAGATGTTAGCACATTTGCTGTTCCCCTCTGCAAGTCCCCACAGCTTAGAGATAGAGTCAATGTTTCATAAGCAGAAGGTCCCAAGCTCAATCTTTCTGAACTCCAGGTTTTTGTGGGTTTCTTTTATAAATGATCGGCTAAGAGTAAAGACCTCTTCCTGAGAGGCTGATGAGCCATTCCCAGCCAGGGTTTAGATGGAGAAATAGTCAGAGAAGGTATTAGGCAGCTTTCTGTCTTAAGAAAGAACCGAGTACAGTTTGCTGCCACTGTCACATTCCCCTTGCAAACTGGTGCATGAAGCAGAGTCTGGAGGATGAGACACCCTTAGTAAGAAATGTCTTTTTCATCACATCTGACTGATTTCTGTCATTCCTATAGCAGATTATCATCTTTCCCAAACTGGAACTGTCATGTGCTTCTCGTGGCTCTGAAGATAACTCCTCTGCCATGTGAAGCAATAGGCGGCTGCTTTTTATCCCATCCATTGTTAGCTGTTTGAATTTGAGACGGCTAGTATTCATTCTCTACTGCTGTTGAAGCCATATCTTACAAGATCTTTAGAGAGGATACATAATACTTTGTATATTTACCAAAACAATGTTATCTGCTGACACAATAAAATAGCCATGTTATTAAACTCCGAAAAAGCCTCGACGTATCTATTTTTCATAACCATTTTAATACACAATGCATTCTTTTCTGCATCTCATATACTTAATATCCACAGCAATCTTCAAGGGAGCATTGTGCCCTGGATCTTATTGAAACAGACTCTTCACAACAGTGTCACTGAAGTACAAATAATAATAATAAAAAATGATAGGAATAATCTCATTATTTTATGCAACCTCAGACACTAGGCAGGCAGAATGGTGAGACACCCCTGCCATATTTTCCTTTACCAGCCAAGGCGTCCCAGGTGCCTTTTTGCTGCCTCAGATAATCTAGCAGAACTAGGATCCCCTGCCTTACCAGGTAACCCAGTGAAGCCTCTGCCTGCTGACCCAGGAGCTGTTACTTGTCATGATTGTTAGATGTAGAAATAATATTACCAGGACAGGACAAATAAGAATACTCCTCTTCACCCACCTTCCCCTTTGTGAATTAAAAAAAATGGAGCTGTTGTTTTTCATGTGGCCATCCACACAAGGGATAGATTTTCCTTGTTGTTTGGGTTCCCAAGATTCTGGACATGGTACTATGTGTTCAGTAACTTTAGCTGACCCAGATCCCAGTTGTCTTTCTTTCTTTCTTTCTTTCTTTCTTTCTTTCTTTCTTTCTTTCTTTCTTTCACATGTCTAGTTCTTGTAGAATCAACACTACAAGGCAAAATGTGCAGACAATATTCTTTCTAGTCATTTTGCGAAAAACAAGCTTGCTTCTGCCATCTGTTCTTCTGGGCAGTGAGGGAAGTCACAGGTAAAAATGTAACGCAAAGAAAGCAGCGATATCCATAAAGACAGGCAAAATACTACAATCACAGTGCAATTATCTGGAGATGGAGTCCCATGTTTTGAAGCTATCATTTTCCCTTTCTGGGCAAAAGTAAAAGCTGCCCACAGAAAACAGTAGAGATTCCCTGGATTTAGTGTAGCTAAACAACACTGCTCCCCCCCCCACACACACACATCAGCAAAGGTTAGCAGAAAAGCAAGTATTTAATATACTGCTAACATGCGCTATATATAAAATGTATTTTAACACACACACACACCGCGCGCTGCCAGTGCAAACCCAGCCCTTTATCTTCATTTTTCTAGAGGGCGCTGTTAAGGCTGAGAGTGGCTTATGACAAAATTGCAACACTGTTAATATTGAAGGTTAGAATTGAGCTTTGACTGCTTTGGATTTCCAGCTAATTTTTTCCCCTACAGAGCTTCCTCCACAATGCAGCAAATGCTGATCTACTGAGATTGCTTCTTTGAGTTATATGAAGACACCTTGCACATTGCAATATTATATTAAGACAACAGCAACAAAGAGTCAATTAACAACAACAAAACCACCCAAGCCACATATTCCCACCTAAGAGTAATGTATGCATTACTGTATTGCACCAAACAATTAGTATAATATGAAAAAGAAGCCATCCTAGTTGTGGGGACTGGAATATGGCAATCCATAACTCAGTATGTAGAACTATTGCTAACAGAAGTCAAACGGTATAGAAAAGTTGCCCAACCTTTTAGACCCCTCCTCACCTGTGCCATTACCAAATGTGGTCTGAAATGCTTAAGGTGCAACTCAATTGTGCCCCTGCGTATTTCTTCCAAAGAAGGGGAGAATAAACCATGTAATCTGAAAGCGGACTCTGATACCCCAGGAATTTCAACATCTGCATCAGAGGTCACATTTAGTCAAGGGTGTCTCATGAGAAGGCAGAACGATAGAATCATAGACTTGAAGACATGGAAGGGAGTGCAAAGGTCATCAGCATGACTTTTATATGTGACAATGTATACAGGTTTTCCTTTTTGCTACACAAGTGTGTGTTTTATCAGGGAAACCAATTGTGTGCAGTATAGTGCTTGAATTGAACTGATAGTGTTTGCTAAAGGTGATTTTGGTTACCACTTCATGCTTTAGATGGATTTAAACTCAAACAATTTAAAAGGTAGCAAGAAAAGCAAGAAAAACATGACACACGTCCTATGTAAAGTGGTAACATCTGACACATTGACTTATATTTTTAGTACAAGGTGAGCAATATAAGTGTGACTGACAAGCAACTGTGCCAATTAGCAAGATAAGATAAGTGGAATAAATATGTGACAAACAGGAGTGTTCTACATCTTCTTCCCCCGGTTACCTCACCTGGGGTCATGACCCACCAAAATTCAAAGAGTATATCAGTTTCAAGAAGCAGTTGTACCTGAGAGCCAGATGTGCAATATAGAAGCAGCAGCAAGGTTAAAATTTATGAGATTTTTTTCTCATATGAGAGAGAGAGGGGAGGGAGGGATGTTTTTTAAAAACCCTCTTATCTAGGACTCAGCAATCCCAGTCTACCAGCTAAGGATTAAGGTAATAACCTGAAATATCTTGGGGGGAAATTCTTTTGCACATAATACAAGTGTGTGGAAAGGGCATGTATCTATTCATATACCTCTTGCATGTATAATTACCCCAAAGAAATCTTTTTTTAATTTTAATCTGATGATCTCAGGATTCTTTGCTGGTAATATTTTTAGATAAATTTAAAAGAAAACGAAATGATATTACAGAGACTGTAGAAATAAATGAGAGTTAGAAGATAAAGATTGCTGTCTAACTACTATATTCAATACTAGAGATGTGGAAGAGGTAAGTGCTAAAATTGATCACTGAAAGTAGCATCACCAAGTGATCTACAGATCCTGGAAAGGCAGTAGCTTTGCCTAACTTCACTGCCCTATTAGTAAAGCTGTGCTCATTGCTGTGTTATTGGCGAACTGTAAAATGATTGGCCATGTCCATTTGAAAGGGCTGGACATGTTTTATCAAGACAATATATCTACCTTGATGGTCTTAGTGGATGACGGAGACCAGTTTTGAGTGTACAGTGGGAAGAGGACAATGAATACATTCAACTGGATTTGGCTGAATACTGAGTTTCACAGTAGTGACCAGGCAATCAGCAGTGAATTGTCCATTCAGGTTTGCACATGTTGTCAGTAGAACATAAAGTTACACTGTGCTAGTTCCCTATTTTGTTCTGAGAACAAATGAAGATACTGCTTATAATGTTAAAAAGTCTTGGATGGCTAGGCCCTACTTATCTGAGAGACAGCCAGCCTCCTGGTCCTGTTAAGAATTCAAAGATGTCTTTTTCATGATATTCTTTGCACACCAGCAGGGGCAGCCCAAGACATCAGGTTTCCTCCATAAACAAGCAATGAGAGGCTGATCCCTCCAAATCCATAAACAGAAGCCAAGTGGACTTGTAGTTGAATCTTACATCAAGACTGGCTATGGGACAGTGCCCTCCACTGCACCTGAGGAAGGCAAAATACTCTAGGAGCTGCAGGAAATGTTATGAATATCGCTTTCTCTGAGGAAAAACTCAGTTACTATTGGCAGCTAGAGAAAGGTGGCATGGGTTTACATAGTCTTCTTCACAACTGGAATGCAGTGAGTTTCCCCTCTGAAAGTGACAACTCTTTTCTTTGGTCCATAATGATGTTAGAGCTTAACCCCTGTGGAGTGACTAACTAGGATCTAGAATGTTAACATCCTTTCTTAACCTCCATCTCCAAGGGTAATCTATTCTTTCCACTTGAATTCAGGCAGCCTCTGAAGGCATGAATGGGGATAATGTATCGTATGCATGGCATTTAACTACTTTGCACTAAGAGCAAGCCTATTAAATTAATGAACATGACTAAGTTGAATTCCTATGGAAGGTATTTGGTGTAGTACTATGGTAATCGTTCCATTACTGCTTGGCAGATGGAAAATCCCAAAAAAAAATTTGGCATGCTGTTCTGGAGATTCTTCTGACCTATTCCAAACCAATTGTGGGGGCACAGAGGTGCATGGGGGAAGGACAAGAGGAAAGTGTTGTTGCACTAGCAGAAATTATTGTATGGATTTCCACTAACAGGACTTATTTGTTCAATCTGGCCCCTATGTTTAGTATAGCAGATGTGAACAGTTTTGAGGCCAGGTACCACACCCTATAACAGAAATCTCAATTGTCCTTACCCTTAAACAAAAGTATTATAATTGTAATATTGGATATACATTATAAGAAGTGACTTGATAATTGGCAGGAAATGTATCACACACTTGTAGCATTTAATAGGTCAACAATTAACAATTATGTTTTTTATATGGTGCATAACAATGGGGGGAAAATCTTCAACTTTATTTCTCCATCTGCCATGCCAGTCTTTAAAGTGCTTATATATTAATCGTGTACTTAGTTTCCTTGGCAACAAGGATTATTCCCTTATAGAGCATATTGTATTTCTACTGCCCTCCAAAGTTGTTGTTAAAATAATAATGCGTTGCTATTATTATAAGGTAGCTGAAAGTGAAGTGAAGTCGCTCCTGGGTTGGATATTTTCAAATTATATCAGGAATGGGAAATTTTAATCTGATAATGATACTAGTTGGGTTGGATTTGCTGCACATTATTGTGAGTATTTTAAGTTGTTTTATTCTTGGTCTATATCTATTTTAACCTTTGTTTTTGTAAGTCACTTTGAATTGATTTTTGGGGAAAAGCAACATTGTAATAAGTAATTAAAATTATGCTTCTATTATCATTTCAAATCATTTCATGCTGGTCAGTCTAGTGAGACAATACCTGAGTAGATATGGTTTTTTTAATCAAACCTAATATTAGTGCAAATGAGAGCTTCAGTGTAAAAGCTCCTGGGCTGCGACTTTGGTATTTTTCCTTCTTTACTAATACCATTCATTTTCCATTCCCCATTTTTCTTTTGTATGAATGTTATTGGTGTAGCCCGTTGTGTAGCATATAAAATAAAAGTTCAATATTCTCAGCAGTTTTTAAGATAAAGCAAAGAGTAATCGTATAATGCTGTGCACCTCAAAGGTCAGTACTGTGCCTCTCTGAGGTCTTCACTGCACTCTAGATGGCTGCCTAGTTGGCCTAATGATGTCACTAGCCCTGGC